TTTGGAGAATTGATTTTTCAATTACCATTGACAGTGAAAAGAAACATAAGAAATATTGAGAAAATTTGTGTTAGAATTATTAATCTTACTTTTTCGGTCATATTTAATAATATATGTTTACAAGAAAGACTGCTACCAAAATAAATATATTAATATATGATATATATATATATATATATATATATATATATATATATATATATATATATATATATATATATATATATATATATATATATATATATATATATATATATATATATATATATATATATATATATATATATATATATATATATATATATATATATATATATATATATATATATATATATATATATATATATATATATATATATATATATATATATATATATATATATATATATATATATATATATATATATATATATATATATATATATATATATATTAAATATGACCGAAAAAGTAAGATTAATAATTCTAACACGAATTTTCTCAATCTTTCGTACATTTCTTTTCACTGTTGGAGGTAATTCAAAAATCAATTCTCCAAAATTAATTTTTATTTCTAGTCTGACGCGACACTTGAGCGCGTTTCGTAAAACTTATTACATTTTCAAAGACTTTAGTTAACATATACACAACTGAATAGAACTTACTGAATAGAATAGAACATCTCCGATTTTGTTTATATCTACATTTGAGTGAGGTGGATGGGGTGAGGTGGTATTTAATAAGGTATTAATTTCATCAACACAAGCCAGAACATGAAACAATGGGTATTGAATAGAAGTGATTGTAGAAAGCCTATTGGTCCATATTTCTTGATGCTTCTATATTGGAGCGGAGTCTTGAGGTGGGTAGAATATAGTTGTGCATTAATTGGCTGTTGATTGCTGGTGTTGACTTCTTGATGTGTAATGCCTCACAAACGTCAAGCCGCCTGCTATCGCTGTATCTATCGATGATTTCTGTGTTGTTTACTAGGATTTCTCTGGCGATGGTTTGGTTGTGGGAAGAGATTATATGTTCCTTAATGGAGCCCTGTTGCTTATGCATCGTTAAACGCCTAGAAAGAGATGTTGTTGTCTTGTCTATATACTGGGTTTTTTGGAGCTTACAGTCCCCAAGAGGGCATTTGAAGGCATAGACGACGTTAGTCTCTTTTAAAGCGTTCTGTTTTGTGTCTGGAGAGTTTCTCATGAGTAGGCAGGCCGTTTTTCTGGTTTTATAGTAAATCGTCAGTTGTATCCTCTGATTTTTGTCTGCAGGGATAACGTTTCTATTAACAATATCTTTCAGGACCCTTTCCTCCGTTTTATGAGCTGTGGAAAAGAAGTTCCTGTAAAATAGTCTAATAGGGGGTATAGGTGTTGTGTTGGTTGTCTCTTCAGAGTTTGCATGGTGTTTCACTTTCCTTCTTATGATGTCTTCGACGAAACCATTGGAGAAGCCGTTGTTGACTAGGACCTGCCTTACCCTACAGAGTTCTTCGTCGACTTGCTTCCATTCTGAGCTGTGGCTGAGAGCACGGTCGACATATGCGTTAACAACACTCCTCTTGTACCTATCTGGGCAGTCGCTTTTGGCATTTAGGCACATTCCTATGTTCGTTTCCTTAGTGTAGACTGCAGTGTGGAAACCTCCGCTCTTTTCCATGACTGTTACATCTAGAAAGGGCAGCTTCCCATCCTTTTCCATCTCGTAAGTGAAACGCAGCACGGAACTCCGCTCAAATGCCTCCTTCAACTCCTGCAGATGTCTGACATCAGGTACCTGTGTAAAAATGTCGTCAACATACCTGCAGTATATGGCCTGTATATATGCAGTATATTTGCTTGCAGGTCTTGGGTCCCTTGTTGTTTCAATGAGCCTAGAACCCAGTTCCTTCAAAAAACTGGTAGCACTTTTACCCCAGGCGCCGAGTGTCTCAGAAGCAATGGGAACAAAATTGTAGTGGTGATCCAGTTCTCTATACTTTCGGAATTTGGCTGCTTCCCTGTGGGTGGCAGCGCCACCTGGTTGTGCAACACTGAGGTTAATGTAGGTGTTAGCCAGGGTTGATACGCACGTGTAGTCCCATACCAACTGCTTGCCATTCTTCCAGGGGTTCACTGTGATACCATCCGGGCGACCAATAAGAGCATCAGAGTTACGGGGCTTTAGGTAACGGGGCTCTCTTTCAGCTGGGCATCCAGCTTTGGTGAGGCTCCTCTTGATGATGTCGTTAACTTCACTGTGCCTCGAGTGCCATCCCCCTGTGCTTTGGCAGAGTAGGCTATGGTGGCCGTACCTGTCAGCCACCACCTCGCCGCAAATACATCTATATCTGGTGTGGATTGGGGCAGCAAGGCGAAGGGCCACAGCAATTCGGAGGGCGTGTGGTGTGAGACGCGTGCCAGTTGCCGACATTGGGGTTGCTAACAGGAAATCCCTTGCATGTGGGGCTGCTACTGCTGTGAGGCGAGCAATGTCGTGTTGTGTTGTTGCAGCACCCAGGCACTCTGCAGCAACTTGGTCTACAATGGGGCCATCCCAGCTGGATTGCTTGTGGGCTTTTGGGGATGGTGGTTGAAGTGATGGGCCTGCACGAGAGGCCCACTCTGTGGCACAGTGTGTAAAATTGGGATCATGTACACCTGCCAGCTGATGTAAGTGGGCAGGTAGAATTTCCTTCACAAGGTCGTCGGATGCTGATGAGGAGGTCAGGAAGGCTGGAACAGCGATTTGCGTTGCTGTTCGAACTCCGAGGCCCCCAAGTCTTACGGGAAGAGAGGCTTGTTTCCACTGTAGGTCATCAAGAGAGAGGTTAAGGGCTTTTTCTAACATTGATTTCAGTAACCGGTCATACTCACTTAGTTTTTGGCTGCTGATATATATATATATATATATATATATATATATATATATATATATATATATATATATATATATATATATATATATATATATATATATATATATATATATATATATATATATATATATATACATTATATATATATATATACATTATATATACATATATTATACATAAAAACCTGCTCGGATGTGAATGGAACGTTGTGTTAAAATTTCAAGGCAATCGGTGAAGAACTTTCGGAGATTAGCGATTTTGAACAAACGAACATTTACATTTTTATTTATTAGTATATTTTGGTAGCAGTCTTTCTTGTAAACATATGTTGTTAAATATGACCGAAAAAGTATGATTAATAATTGTAACACGAATATTCTTAATATTTCTTATGTTTCTTTTCACTGTCGATAGTAATTGAAAAATCAATTCTCCAAATTTCATTTTTATTTCTAGTCTGACGCAACGCCTGACGTTATTTCAAAACTCTTGACAGGGCAAAGGCAATTAAACTAGCAGATTCATTGAAAATTGCATGTGCAAGTCTTTGTGGATCACTATTGATCATGGGGTTAAATGAGTTAAAAACACATTTTGATTCTTGTTCTTCCCCAACCGTCCAAGTGGTTGGGTTCCCTCCCTTTCCTCTGTCCTAACCTAAATTATTATCCTCATGCCCCTTCTAAGTGCTATATACTCACAATAGCTTAGTTCCTTCTTCTGATACTTAACTGCCTCCTCTTAGTAAAAATGGCCCATTCCATTGAAATTGTGTCACTTTGTGCCTTAAAGGCAATTTTCCCAACCAATTACTTTTTTTCTGCTGATTGTATTTGGGCATCAATTTTACAATATATCTGCATATCAATTTCTTATTTTTCGTGATTATATATATTCATGAAAGAAAGCTGGCTAATAATAACACTTTCCAGTGTAAATTATCAGACATTATTTTAGAATACCACTTCAAATTAAACTGGTACTTACAATCCTAATTTGCATTTGTCAAAATCTTTATTGAAACTAGAGCTCATTTAAAAAAAAAACTATGTTATTTTTTAAGCGACGATTTCGAAATGATTCTTCTCATTGACTAAAAGCAAATATTACTCAGTATGCATTTAAATCGAAGATTTTCTTTGAAACTCTGTAAACTTGTGAGAATTTTTAAACCATTTATTATTTTCCACATTGGAATCATGGTAACATGATATGTATATGAGAAAATGTATGTAGGCAGGAAGGGAGGTATGACACCAGCACCCTGAATAACACATACCTTATCCCACCAGACAGTATGCGGGTTACATGTGTAAATTTGATAGGATACCACCTCGGTGCCTTCAAGTTCCAAGTGGGTTGAGGCAGACTCAAGCTTGTGTAGCCTTTGAGCATATCGTGGTCCATGGGTTAAGGCGGGTGTCAACCCGCGTCCCAGGATGCTCGTTCAATCTCAGTCTTGCTCCAAAGATTTCCACATTTAGTATTTTCTTATTTGGTTTATTTCTGAGACACGTTTATAATGCCTTTCTAAGCGCAAGAGAATACCGCTTGCATTGATTTTACACTTACAACATGACTTAATGTTTACAGGAAAAATTATCATGAAATTCACGCATAAAACATTCATGCGTTAAACAAAGCTCTCTAATATATAGAGCTAAATAATTGTTTTTTGTGTTGAATATTAAGTGATAACTTGATAATTTTTGTTACATTGCCACTAAAATGCTTATGTTCATAGAAGAACATAGCGCTGGCGTTCCGCGAGCGCTATGTCATGGGTTCGTATCCTGGCCGGGGAGGATTTACTGGGCGCAATTCCTTAACTGTAGCCTCTGTTTAACGCAACAGTAAAATGTGTACTTGGATGAAAAAACGATTCTTCGCGGCAGGGGATCGTATTCCAGGGACCATAGGATTAAGGACTTGCCCGAAACGCTACGCGTACTAGTGGCTGTACAAGAATGTAACAACTCTTCTATATATCTCTCAAAAAAAAAAAAAAAAAAAAAAAAAAAAAAAAAAAAAAAAAAAAAAAAAAAAAAAAATTATAATAAAGATGACAGCATTTTATTATTATTATTATTATTATTATATATGCTGATTTAGGAGAATGGCTTCTGAAAATTATTATTTTGGTGTTTATGTTTTCCAGTTTCTTCAAGTATGCCAGACCAAGTTGACTCCGGACTTTCGCCTTACATCCCTGATGTTGATGAGAGTTCTCGAGATAAACGTAGTAGTTATAGTTCTATAATCTACTCCACTAAAGATGTGGACGCCCTCAAAATGTTTGATGTAAGGATTTGATGTAATGTGTTTTCAAATTGCTGTTTAGTTTAAGTATCATCACATAATCCTGAAGGTAATAATGTAGTCTTTGATGCAGAGCAAATCTGTTAGTGATTTAGACTTAAGATAAAGCAGCATTATTAGTGAGTTTTCCGATGACACAAAAATACATTACGAAGACTGAGGAAAACAGGGAAAAAGTCAGACCCACAAAGAAAGAATAAGAAAGAGAGGGAGAAGGAGAGGGAGAGAGAGAGGGAGAGAGAGAGAGGAGAGAGAGAGGGAGAGAGAGAGGGAGAGAGAGAGGGAAAGAGAGAGGGAGAGAGAGAGAGGGAGAGAGAGAGGGAGAGAGAGAGAGAGGGAGAGAGAGAGAGGGAGAGAGAGAGAGAGAGAGAGAGAGAGAGAGAGAGAGAGAGAGAGAGAGAGAGAGAGAGAGAGAGAGAGAGAGAGAGAGAGAGAGAGAGAGAGAGAGAGAGAGAGAGAGAGAGAGAGAGAGAGAGAGAGAGAGAGAGAGAGAGAGAGAGAGAGAGAGAGAGAGAGAGAGAGAGAGAGAGAGAGAGAGGAGAGAGAGGAGAGAGAGAGAGAGAGAGAGAGAGAGAGAGAGAGAGAGAGAGAGAGAGAGAGAGAGAGAGAGAGAGAGAGAGAGAGAGAGAGAGAGAGAGAGAGAGAGAGAGAGAGAGAGAGAGAGAGAGAGATAAGATGGTAAATAATAAGATAAAGATCGTGGTGACTCCAAATTGTTTTATGTTTCTCAGCATGTACCCGTGAGCTTTACTGCTCTGTTTGTTGATATTCCTCAAAGATCAAAGAATATATTTACTTCAAAACTGCCCTAATCCCCTACCATTCACAATCAAGAAATAGTAAAGGATTTTTATTGATCTTGTGGCAACCCGCACAGGGAGAGGTTAAGCAACACAGCAGAACAGCAGCGATCATGCCGACTCCACACACTTACAAATCGTTCGTAATCAATGCTTTAATTTTTCATAAAAGGTTTAAACAGGGAAATCCTGGTTGATCATGTTGAGTGCGTAGAGCCATTCAAGACAATCGCTGAACAATCAGTCCTAACCATCAACTATCAGAACTCATCATCAACAATCAGAACCCACCATCAACAATCAGGACCCATCATCAACAATCAGAACCCACCATCAACAATCAGAACCCACCATCAACAATCAGGACCCACCATCAACAATCAGAACCCACCATCAACAATCAGGACCCACCATCAACAATCAGAACCCACCATCAACAATCAGACCCACCATCAACAATCAGAACCCACCATCAGCAATCAGGACCCATCATCAACAATCAGAATCCACCATCAACAATCAGAACCCACCATCAACAATCAGAACCCACCATCAACAATCAGGACCCACCATAAACAATCAGGACCCACCATCAACAATCAGAACCCACCATCAACAATCAGGACCCACCATCAACAATCAGAACCCACCATCAACAATCAGGACCCACCATCAACAATCAGAACCCACCATCAACAATTAAGACCCACCATCAACAATCAGAACCCACAATCAACAATCAGGACCCATCATCAACAATTAGAACCCACCATCAACAATCAGGACCCATCATTAACAATCAGAACCCACCATCAACAATCAGAACCCACCATCAACAATCAGAACCCACCATCAACAATCAGGACCCACCATAAACAATCAGGACCCACCATCAACAATCAGAACCCACCATCAACAATCAGAACCCACCATCAACAATCAGAACCCAATATCAACAATCAGGACCCACCATAAACAATCAGGACCCACCATCAACAATCAGAACCCACCATCAACAATCAGAACCCACCATCAACAATCAGAACCCACCATCAACAATCAGGACCCACCATCAACAATCAGAACCCACCATCAACAATCAGAACCCACCATCAACAATCAGGACCCACCATCAACAATCAGAACCCACCATCAACAATCAGGACCCACCATCAACAATCAGAACCCACCATCAACAATCAGAACCCACCATCAACAATCAGAACCCACCATCAACAATCAGAACCCACCATCAACAATCAGAACCCACCATCAACAATCAGAACCCACCATCAACAATCAGGACCCACCATCAACAATCAGGACCCACCATCAACAATCAGAACCCATCATCAACAATCAGGACCCACCATCAACAATCAGGACCCACCATCAACAATCAGAACCCACCATCAACAATCAGAACCCACAATCAACAATCAGGACCCACCATCAACAAAAGACACAAGCTAGTCAGGAGATTCTGAAAATATTTTGATTATTTTGAACTCACAAACCCAAGGCAAACCTGATCAATCAGGCTGTAATTCATACACCTGGCTGTAAGCAACCGCTTACAGGCCTGGCTGACCAGACCATCAACCAGGAGGCCTGGTCAGAGACCGGGCCACTGGGACCATGACCCCCGGAATCAACACCAGGTAATCACAAGGTCTCTCGCATTGCAAGAGTGCAACAGCAAAATGTTGGTGGTAATCTGGAAATTAAAATTTTCTGAAGAGAATTATAACCCATGTCTCCAGCAGCAGAAGTGACTACAGGAACTTCAGTCACACATGAGTTACAGTCACACATGAGTTACAGTCACACATGAGTTACAGTCACACATTAGTTACAGTCACACATGAGTTACAGTCACACCTGAGTTACAGTCACACCTGAGTTACAGTCACACCTGAGTTACAGTCACACCTGAGTTACAGTCACACATGAGTTACAGTCACACCTGAGTTACAGTCACACCTGAGTTACAGTCACACCTGAGTTACAGTCACACCTGAGTTACAGTCACACCTGAGTTACAGTCACACCTGAGTTACAGTCACACCTGAGTTACAGTCACACCTGAGTTACAGTCACACCTGAGTTACAGTCACACATGAGTTACAGTCACACATGAGTAATTACAGTCACACATGAGTTACAGTCACACATGAGTTACAGTCACACCTGAGTTACAGTCACACATGAGTTACAGCACACCTGAGTTACAGTCACACATGAGTTACAGTCACACATGAGTTACAGTCACACCTGAGTTACAGTCACACATGAGTTACAGCACACCTGAGTTACAGTCACACATGAGTTACAGTCACACCTGAGTTACAGTCACACCTGAGTTACAGTCACACATGAGTTACAGCACACCTGAGTTACAGTCACACATGAGTTACAGTCACACCTGAGTTACAGTCACACCTGAGTTACAGTCACACATGAGTTACAGTCACACCTGAGTTACAGTCACACCTGAGTTACAGTCACACATGAGTTACAGTCACACATGAGTTACAGTCACACATGAGTTACAGTCACACCTGAGTTACAGTCACACCTGAGTTACAGTCACACATGAGTTACAGTCACACATGAGTTACAGTCACACATGAGTTACAGCACACCTGAGTTGCAGTCACACCTGAGTTACAGTCACACATGAGTTACAGTCACACCTGAGTTACAGTCACACCTGAGTTACAGTCACACATGAGTTACAGTCACACATGAGTTACAGTCACACATGAGTTACAGTCACACATGAGTTACAGTCACACCTGAGTTACAGTCACACCTGAGTTACAGTCACACCTGAGTTACAGTCACACATGAGTTACAGTCACACATGAGTTACAGTCACACATGAGTTACAGTCACACATGAGTTACAGTCACACATGAGTTACAGTCACACATGAGTTACAGTCACACCTGAGTTACAGTCACACATGAGTTACAGTCACACATGAGTTACAGTCACACATGAGTTACAGTCACACCTGAGTTACAGTCACACATGAGTTACACCTGAGTTACAGTCACACCAGTTGAGTTACAGTCACACACCTGAGTTTACATGAGTACAGTCACACATGAGTTACAGTCACACATGAGTTACAGTCACACATGAGTTACAGTCACACCTGAGTTACAGTCACACTGAGTTGAGTCAGTCACACATGAGTTACAGTCACACCTGAGTTACAGTCACACACATGAGTTACAGTCACACATGAGTTACAGTCACACATGAGTTACAGTCACACCTGAGTTACAGTCACACCTGAGTTACAGTCACACCTGAGTTACAGTCACACATGAGTTACAGTCACACATGAGTTACAGTCACACCTGAGTTACAGTCAGTCACACATGAGTTACAGTCACACATGAGTTACAGTCACACATGAGTTACAGTCACACCTGAGTTACAGTCACACATGAGTTACAGTCACACATGAGTTACAGTCACACATGAGTTACAGTCACACATGAGTTACAGTCACACATGAGTTACAGTCACACCTGAGTTACAGTCACACATGAGTTACAGTCACACATGAGTTACAGTCACACCTGAGTTACAGTCACACATGAGTTACAGTCACACCTGAGTTACAGTCACACATGAGTTTACAGTTACACACACATGAGTTACAGTCACACACAGTCCTGAGTTACAGTCACACATGAGTTACAGTCACACATGAGTTACAGTCACACATGAGTTACAGTCACACATGAGTTACAGTCACACATGAGTTACAGTCACACCTGAGTTACAGTCACACATGAGTTACAGTCACACCTGAGTTACAGTCACAGTCATGATGGGCGAACATGGCATGGAAGCACCATCACATAACTTCAAGAAGGTCATCACTTAACTCGTTTATAAATAAGTGCCGTAAAGAAGAAAGACAAGAAAGGGAACTGATGGATGACACAGGTCGTAAAGCGAGCGTTGGTTACCAAGAGGAAGATCTGGTGAACGTATCAACCCACGATGGGCGTCACTGATTATGGGTTATACAAATGGGCACTAAACTCGGCCACTCACAAAATCAGATCAGCCACAAGAAACTACGAAAGAAAATTTGCGTAAGACATAAAGAATGATTCTAATTCGTTTTACGCCTATATAAGAGGTAAAACTAAAACA